AAGACTCAATATTGTTGAGAAGTCAATTCTCCTCAAATTATTTGTGGATTCAATGTAATCCCAATCCAAATGCCCTCAGTTTTTTTTTTGTAGAAGCTGATGGCAATGAGAATAGTCCAAATAATTCTAAAACAAGAATAGTGTTGGAGGAATTATACTATCTGATTTCAAGACTTACAGTGTCATTAAGACTGTGATACTGGCATAAGTACAGACATATAGACCAATGGAACTGAATAAAATTGAAAATATTCACACATATATGATAAGTTGTTTTCAATACAGGTGCAAAGGTAATGGGAAAAGCATATTCTTTCAAATGTGATGGTGGAACAACTGGCTTTCTGTATAGGAGAAACAAAGAAAGAACAATAACAACAACCAAAAAAAATCAAACATGACCCTTAACTCATACCAGACCTCAACAATTTAACTAGAAATGTTTAGGATCACAGTCCATAAGGAATTAAGCTTGAACTATAACACTTCTAGAAGAAAACATGAGTGAACATATCACAACCTTGATCAGGCAAAAATTTCTTAGAACACAAAAAACACTAATCATAAAGGATAAAATTCATAAATTAATCTCATCAAAATGAAAAGTTTCTAATTTAGAAAATGAAAAGGCAAGCCAAAGACTGGAGAAAATACTAGCAATACATGTACCTAAAAAATGACTAGTATCCAGAAAACATAAAGAATTGTTATAACTCAGTAATAAGACCAATCCAAATTTGGGCAAAAGATATTAACAGATACTTTACTAAGGGGGATATATGAATGGCCAAAAAACTTATAAAAAGATGCTCAGCATAGTTAGTTAATGTCACGAGTCTGTAGTCAATGCAATTCAAAACCACAGTGAGATACCATTACACACACACTCAAATGGCTAAGTTTAAAATGACTGCCAAGTTGGGGGCAGTGGCTCACGCCTGTAATCCCAACACTCTGGGAGGCGAAGGCAGGCAGATTGCTTGACCCACAAGTTTGAGATCAGCCTGGGCAAGATGGCGAAACCCCATCTGTACAAAAAAATGGAAAATTAGCCGGGCATGGGGGAGTGTGCCTGTAGTCCCAGCTACTTGGGAAGCTGAGGTGGGAGAATCGCTTGAGCCCAGGAGGTTGGGGCTGCAGTGAGTTGAGATCGTGATACTGCACTCCAGCCTGGGTGACAAAGTGAGACCCTGTCTCAAAAAAAAATTTTTTTTTAAATGAGGTCATAATAATACCCAAGAAAAAAAATACCCATTCACCACCACTGGAGGTGACTAGCACTTGGTAATTGCAAAGAGGAAAGAAAGAATCTTTATCATGGAAAGATCTGGTAGCACACCACCTTATTAAGTGACCACTCTTAGTATCATTAATAGCAGGACAACTTGGTATAATGATTCTTTATGTGATGAAAAACATCACATCATCTATGAAGTATTTCTGCCTAAAACACTAACCTGCCTCTAATCAGGCCTTAAGACCTAACTTCCATTTTATAGAACATAATTAATGGGTCAATCTAACAAACACATAAAGCCAGTATTGCAAAATATAATAGTTGAATCTAGATGTTAGGAAATATATGTTTAATATCTTCATATTTTCTGTATGTTTGAATATTTTCAGTAAAAAATAAAAGCGATCAGTCAAGAGGTCTGCTAACATAGCATGAATACAGTGAAACCTCAGAGTAACAGGCCCAGAGGTAATGTAAATTTGGAAATAATGTGATTAGAAATATATATATATGAAATATATATGTGTGTGTGTATATATATGATCTTGTATACAAGATAGTATACAAGAGTCTTGCTCTGTTGCCCAAGTCTTGCTCTGTTGCCCAAGCTGGAGTGCAGTGGCCCAATCATGGCTCACTGCAGAGCAACCTTCCAGGATTAAGCCTCTGCCTCCCAAGTAGCTGAGACTATAGGCATGTATCACCATACCCAGCTAATTTCTTTTCATTTTTAATAGAGATGAGGTCTCATCTGTTGCCCAGGCTGCTCTCAAACTCCTGAGCTCAAGAGATCTTCCCACCTCAGTCTCCCAAAGTGATGGAATTAGAGGCATGAACCACCGCACCCGGCCTAAACATTTTGTTTTAATATCAGGGTCATTCTCTTCATTAACTTTGCAGTAATGAGGTCTCACATTTTATATAACCAATGTTCTCTCTTTTGTATAGGTATTTATAATAAATAAAGTATCGAATGAAAGAGAAAAACCAATGCAAATGACATACAGGCAGAAGATAGGAAAAGGGTATGTGCAGAAACCATTATTGTTAATTCCTTTGAAGACTCATGGTCCAGTCTATCCAAAAATTTTATTATGACAATCCTGTAAGTACTACCCCAATAAATATGCCCTTATATTTGCTGGCTAATTTTACTTAGGTTATTTTTTGTATCTGATAAGTGGAAACCAAGTGAGAGATTATTTTATGCTAACACTAAAATTAATTAAATGCTACAGATATTCCAAATTGAGAAAATGGATCTGCTGTCATGGTTTCAGCATACTATATTCAACATTCTTGATAAGAACACTATCTTTGAGAATGTAGACTTAAATACTTGCATCAGAAAAGGTGAGACATCGTGGTATGAGAATTTCACTTCATATTTTTAGTTTGAAACTAACAAACACAGTCTAGTTTGGCATACTATGGAAATAATAGGTCATTTGGCCTAAATGAAGACTGTGTGTGCCTGATACCTACTGCTGCTACTACTGGGGATGGTGGGAGGTTTTGTGGAGTTAAGGTACCAGTTGGTGACACCACACATGGAGTCTGGAAATGGAAAAGACACAAAATACCCTTCAGAAAACCTCTGAGACTTGTCTCAAAATAATTACTCCTGTTCCACCAAGGCTCTGAAAAACTGGCTTCATCTAGAGTGCAGAGAAACAAACAACAGGAATAACTCTTCTACCACATGCCAGTGTTTCTTTAGAGTAGGGGAGGGCTTGCCAACACTACTTGGCCAGCACCCTAAGATAGTAGTTTAGACACGACCCTGAATTCAAAGAGAAAAATGACTATTCATTGTACACCCTGCCCTCCTCACTATGGAGGCTGCCAATTAGACTGTGAACAGGAATGAAGTGGAGGTGGGGTTACTGGGGTTTCTCCAGCCCAGGCAGATGGCAAGCCTGTTCTGATTCAGATCACTTCCATGGGGCTGTGCCAAAAACATGCCCATATTATCTTGCTTGCCTATGCTGCCTCTCGCTTCACGCCACAACCAGTGAAGCACTTCCTCAAAACTTCTAGAGTTCTAAGGGGGTGCTAGAAAACCACTAGTTTAGATTAACCCTAAACCAATGCAGGGGTTCCTTGCATTGGGTCCCTGAAAGATGCTTGCCCACAATTTTCTTACATACTTACAGGGCTACACTATGTCTCACGGGTGCTTATTCTGTCTTTGGGAAGATCTGACTACTAGAAAGTATTTCCCAATACTAAACTCACATCTACTTCTTTCCTACCTTCATCTTTTGGTTCAAGTTCTACCTCTTGAAGTTACATGGCATAAGTCTGTGCTATCCCCTTTTATCTGACTAATCAAATACTATTCATCTGCCAGTATTCATCTTAAGTCTTCTTCTGTGTTACACCCAAAACAATCCCTCCCAGAGTGATTTCTGTGTCCTCTGGGTTCTTCAACTACACTTAATGCACCACTCCTCGGCACTTATGCTTTACCATCTTAGTTATTTTTGGCATTCTTTATGCCTTTCTAACAAGAACATAATCTTTTGATGGCTGGATGGTGTCAGTCTTTTATAAATGTCTATCTCTATACCCCTTCATCATGTTGCTGCTGAGTAGATAGTGTGTGCATGGGTCCTCCATGAACTGGTCCTAACCACAACAAGTTTACTTATTTTCTATCACATTTCCTCACAAAAATCCTCCACTCTAATCTATCCAGCTACCAAATTATACCCTGTGTCTTCCTCATTTGCTAATGCTTTCTTGTTTCCTATCCCAACCTCTCCCCATCTAGAGCAGAGAGTATTAGCCTCAGGCATATGAAGTCTAAACACCGTACACAAAATGTACATTTTTGTATGTAGGAGAGAATGTTTCACAGCTTTCACACAACTCTCAAAGGTCTCAAGACTCCATAAAAAATTAAAATCCACTATTATAAATTTTTTCCCATCTTTGCTTAACCAAATCTTCCCTATTCTTAAAAGCCCAGCTCATGTCCCTGGATCCAGGGAACCTTCCATATGGGGGAGATTTCCTAAGCTCTGAATATATATGTATGAATATATATGTATATATATCTCCATATATATCGATATATAAGGAGATATATATATCTAAGTTGATATATATATCTAAACTGATACACATACATCGATTTTTCTACCATTAATCTCTGTGGTTTATTATGTACCTTGTAGAAATTTTAAAATTAGTATCTTCATTGTGACTTAAATCTTTTGTATTTAATGTTTCATGACTGTAAACTTTACAGCATCTTTTTGTTATAGGTACTGCCTTCCACAGAGCAGGTACTTAACAAATACTACTGTGGATGGCCGGGTGTAGTGGCTCACGCCTGTAATCCTAGCACTTTAGGAGGCCAAGGCAGGTGGATCATGAGGTCAGGAGATAGAGACTATCCTGGCTAACATGGTGAAACCCCGTCTCTACTAAAAAGATACAAAAAAAAATTAGCTGGGCGTGGTGGTAGGCGCCTGTAGTCCCAGCTACTCGGGAGGCTGAGGCAGGAGAATGGCATGAACCTGGGAGGTGGAGCTTGCAGTAAGCCGAGATCGTGCCACTGTACCTCCAGCCTGGGCAGCAGAGCGAGATTCCATCTCAAAAAAAAAAAAAAAAAAAATCCTACTGTGGACACGAATGAAGACGGTGAATCACCTTCATCTCAGCGTGTGTAGAAACTCAGTTTTAAAGGTGCATATCACAGTTGCGACAGTGTCATTAGACCTGGGCAAAATGCCACAGTTAGCTGCCACCTTACCTCTGCTTTACGAATATTTTCTCTAGCTTCATCTATTTTCTGTTCCAGCTCTGCTCGGCTTTGTTCTGATACAGTAGGTCCATGACACTCCAGATCATCTAGAACCTATTAAAAAAAATGGGACAATAATGATGACTGTTTTTTACTTTTTATCTTCCTTAAGTGATTAGAGTATTTACATAATTCAAAAGGCTTTAGTGACTAGTAGCCACGATTTTTTTCATTTATTTATTTTTTGAACATTTTGAAATAATTATAGACTTACTAGTAATAAACTTACTACAGAGAGTCCCTTCAGTGGGGAAGCCAGGACCAGCCACTATCTGATTGACGCCACATGAGAGACCCCAAGGGAAACTGCTAAGCTGAGACCACCTAATACTCAGATTAGTGAGAGATAATGTAAAAACCCTCTTGTTCTACGGCATTAAGTTTGAGGTGGTTTGTTAAGCAACATTACATAAGTAGAACATTGAATCTGAGATGCCCATGAGATAGCGAAAAGATGTCAAAACAGGAAAAAGGTTATATGGATACACAGTAGAAGCTAGGCCCAATGTTGAAGATAATAATTTATGATTTGGTGGTAAAGTAAAACCATGGAAGTGATTGAGAATGCCTATATGAGGATAAAGAATAAAAAAACAAGATAGCCAAACAATCTGAGAAAATGAATATTTAATTGTGGGCTGGAGAAAGAGGAACCTATGAAAAAATCTAGGAATAGCCAGAAAGGCAGAAGGAAAGCCAGGACAATGTTGAATCGTGGATGACTAGAGAAGATAACATTTTAAGACAAAGGGAGTTGTCAATTGTGATGAAATTGCTGACAGATTAAGAAAAATGAGAAATCAAACTGTCCATTTTGAAGTTAGCAACACAGACATCATTGGTGATTTTGGTAAGCTTAGACTATGAAGTGATACAGGGGGAAGGAAAGGAAAGGAAAGCTCAAATGTAATGGGCTAAAAAGTAAGTGGGAGGTGAGATTCTATAGATAATAAGCATAGGCAATTCTTTTAAGAAGTAGGATGTGAAAGCGAAGAATGAGAAGGATATAGGTATCAATAAATGAAATTGAGAAAAAAAGTACTATACTCAAAATAATTTCTTTGTGCTTAGAGTTTAGTCTTTGAGATATATTTTCTCCCTTCTTCCTTCCCTTCCTCCTTCCCTTCCTCTTTCCCATCCTTCTTCCTGTCCTCCTTCCCTTTCTCCTTCCCTTTCTTTTCTTTTCTTTCGAGACAGTGTCTTGCCCTGTCACCCAGGCTGGAGTGCAGTGGCATGATCTTACCTCAATGTAACCTCCACCTCCTGGGCTCATGCATTTCTCCCCAACCTTAGCCTCCCGAATAGGTGGGAAGATAGGTGTGCGCCACCATGTCCGATTAATTTTTGAATTTTTTGTAGAGACTGGGTTTTTTGCCATGTTGCTCAGGCTGGTCTCAAACTCCTGGCTCAAGCAATCGATCTGCCTCAGCCTCCCAAAGTTCTGGGATTACAAGCATGACCCACTGTGCCCAGCCAAACATATATTTTCATGAAACCTATAATTGTGTCTTTAAAAAATATGTCTTGAGGGATGAAAACCTGTATTAATTCAACATATGTCTCTTCCCCTGGCCGTAACACACTATCACAGCTTTTCTTTGGCAATTTTATGGTAAACAGGTGAATTAATGTATTGCTGATGGAGGGCTTAAGGAAATTACAACATGAGTAGATAGCTGACAGCACACTGCTGAGTGTTGAGAAAGTACAGAAAAAACACATACAATGCTCGAGCAAAGGAGTTTGAGACCAGCCTGGGAAACATGGCAAGACCCTATCTCTACAAAAAACCTAAAAAAAATTAGCCAGGCATGGTGGTGTGTGCCTGTGGTCCCAGCTACTTGGGAGGCTGAAGTGGGAGGATTGCTTCAGCCCAGGAGGTTGAAGCTGCAGTAAGCTATGTTCACACCACTGCCCTTCAACCTGGGTGACAGAGCAAGCCTCTTGTCTCAAACAAAACAAAACAAAACAACACATATAGGATATTTTTCACATTAATAAAACTCAGCTCCTTAAACTGTTTGACATTTGGCTTAAGGTGAATGTAACTAGGACTTTCTCTTATACTTACCCGTTGTTGATGAACAATGTTTTTATGCTCACGTGCCACACGTGTGGCCCATTTTCGAGCTTCCTTATTTAGACTGTGCTCCTCTGTGGTCCCAGTTTCTGATTCTAATTGTCGGCTCTACAACACAAGACAGAACAGAGATAAAAATATTGCTATCCTTATTGCAACCACCACTGCTTTGTAGATGGATCAGAAGGCCTTCACTTAATCAGCACTCAAAACAATAAGGCACACTCCACTACTGCTGGAAACAATGTCTTATCGTCACAGAAAGTTACCAGAAGAGTAAGATGAGTATAAAACCATTAAAGACCATAAACTTTTTGTCTTACAGTGCTGAACACAAAAGCATCATCTCTAATATTGCAGACTTATCTTTTTGGGTGTGACGGACTTATCTTTCCGAGTGAGAAGGAAGCTAGCTAAGGTAAGCAAAGAAGAAAATGTATTCATGCCAACCTACTATGGTGATAAAATCATTGCATAAATAAAAATGGAAACAACTTAATAGTTTCAATGTGAGTAAAGAATCATTAAAGATAAGAACAAAACAATACAATAACAGCAACACAATTTTGCACCCCTCCTGCTGCCCCAAGGCAGATGGAACTCATTAGAGGTCCATCATCAACTTGCCACCAAACCTTAAAAGTCAGCTTTTGCCCTTTCTCCAGGCTTCATATGAAATATAAGGGTGCTAGATCAAATGATCACCAAGGGTTTCTTCTAGCTGTATGCTATGATTCTGATCTACAAAGAACAAACCACAAAATCTAAATAAAAATATTAATAGCTAACTCCTATTGTGCAAGGTACTATGGAAAGTGATTCATATAACTTTTTTTTTAAACAACCTTATGACGTGGGTCCCACACCATTTTATAGAAAAGAAAACAAAGGCTCAGAGAGGTTAATTTTTCTTGGATGTCCTAGATATTAAATGTTACAACCTTAATTGTCTGATTACAGAATCAGAGCCATTAAACACAAAACTATTTTAATTCTCTCTAAATTCTTAAAGACCCCTGAAAAACAAACTTTACTGAGATAATTAGGAATTTATTTAAAAAAAATATGAATCACCCAAAGAGGCTTTTCATATAGAAAGAAGCAAAATTGTAGAATGAAAAGAATTTTAGAAATTCTGATCATGGCTCACTGCAGCGTTGACCTCCGGGATCAAGTGACTCTTCCACTTCGGCCTCCTGAGTAGCTGGAACTACAGGTGTGTGCCACCATACCCAGCTAATTTTTTTTTTTTTCCTTCTAGAGATAAGGTCTCTCTATGTTGCCCAGGCTTGTCTTGAACTCCTCGACTCAAGTAATCCTCCCACCCTGGCCTTCCAAAGTGTTGAAATGCCAGGGATGAGCCACTACACCTGGCCTAGTAATTCTTTTGCAAGGTCTCATAGCTCAAAATTGATAGAGTAAGTAGAAATTGATAAACTGGATTTTAAAAATTAATATTTTTGTTGGGGGAATTGTGATGGGGCAGAGTTTAAAAATTTTTGTTCTATACAGATATTTCAGCTAAAGCTAGATTATAACAGTGACAAATGAATTGAAATAGAGCAAAATAATCAAAATTCAAACCTAACCATCTTTACATTCACATTTTATATTCTAATGGGAATGAACTTTATTATTATATTTTGCTTTGCAAATGAGTCTGGGCATTCAATTTACATCTGTTCTCAAAGTCAGGAACATTAAAATGTTAACTCTAGACATAGATACAAATGAAATATACAAAAGTCAGAGGAAGTGATCTGTAAAAGTAGAAAGATAAATTCTGAAGAGTCCAAGAATAGGTTTTTGAGTCAGATAGACTTAGTTTGAATCCACTGTATGCCATTTTATGGTACTACTAGCTTTATGATCTCAGGCATGTTAATTATCTGAGTTGTAGCTACATCTGAAAACTAGTGAAAATGTCACCTATCTCCGTAGGGTTGGTAGGTTATAATGAAGTCATATTTTAAACATTCTGGTATAGTATCTACATAATATCTTAGGCATCCAGTAATGGTAACTGCTAATGTTAAAAGCCCAATTGAAAATTACTTGAAACAAAAATTTTCTCATTACTGTTCATAAGAAAATCCAGATAATTCCTAGGTTCTTAATAGCGTAAACAATGAATCCAAAACAAAGATTGAAGATATATGGAAAGATTAAGGCAGATCTCAAAGAGAATGAATTTGTAGGGAGTAGCTGGATGAGAAAGGAAGCAACTGATAGAGACATTTAATTTTTTTTTTTTTTTTGAGACGGAGTCTCGCTCTGTCGCCCAGGCTGGAGCGCAGTGGCCGGATCTCAGCTCACTACAAGCTCCGCCTCCCAGGTTTACGCCATTCTCCTGCCTCAGCCTCCCGAGTAGCTGGGACTACAGGCGTCCGCCACCTCGCCCGGCTAGATTTTTGTATTTTTTAGTAGAGACGGGGTTTCACCGTGTCAGCCAGGATGGTCTTGATCTCCTGACCTCGTGATCCGCCCGTCTCGGCCTCCCAAAGTGCTGGGATTACAGGCTTGAGCCACCGCGCCCGGCCAGAGACATTTATTACTGAGCAGCATTTTAGGAATAGGTAAAGGGGTTTACATTGTGTGCTGGCTGCAGATGGGCCAAAACCCAATTTGCCTTACAGAATTTATACCTTCTTATTGAGTATTCACTGCGCTCAAGATAGAGCTTTTCCCTTATTTTTTATGTGTTTACTAAGACTTGGGAGTCCAATGATCAGGACAGATAACTAATGTCACTGATTGGAAGATGTGACTTTGAGATCCTTTGGGTAGGGAATGACACAAAACTAAAATTCAAATTAATTTATCCTTTTCATGAATTCTGAAATCAAGCCATGGAATACATGTGGAAGCTCCTGAGACACAGGTCTTGACAACTGAGAATTTCATACAAGGTGAATACAGCCCAGGGTATTAAACAATACACAGAGAAATGTTCCAATACCACCTTCACTATCAAAGATCAGTATAAATCAGGATCTAGTATAGATAATTATGTTTTTGTTTGTTTTGTTTTTTGAGACGGAGTCTCACTCTGTTGGCCAAGCTGGAGTGCAGTGGCGTGATCTTGGTTCAGTGCAACCTCCGCCTCCCCCGTTCAAGTTGGGAGGCCGAGGCGGGTGGATCACAAGGTCAAGAGATCGAGACCATCCTGGTCAACATGGTGAAACCCTGTCTCTACTAAAAATACAAAAAATTAGCTGGGCGTGGTGGCACGTGACTATAGTCTCAGCTTGGATTACAGGTGTGAGCCACTGTGCGTGGCCGATAATTAGACAGTGGTATTAGCAGTGGTTGATTCTAACAAAGAAATCATAATGACTGCTTCTTTTTAAAACACTGGCAAATTTATTTTATCTTTAGTTTTTATTTTTTGAGACAGAGTCTCACCCTGTCACCCAGGCTGGAGTGCAGTGGCACAATCTTAGCTCACTGCAACCTCTGTCTCTCGGGTTCAAGAGATTCTCATTCCTCAGCCTCTGGAGTAACTGGGATTACAGATGTACCACCATGCCCAGCTAATTGTTTGTATTTTTAGTAGAGATGGGGTTTCGCTATGTTGGCCAGGCTGGTCTTGAACTCCTGTCCTCAAGTGATCCACCTGTCCTTGGCCTCCCAAAGTGCTGGAATTACAGGCATGAGCCACCACGCCTGGCCTATTTCATTCTTGTAACATTTTTCCTTTTTTTGGAAGACAGGGTCTCACTCTGTTGCCCAGGCTGGAGTGCAGTGGTGCAATCATGGCTCGCTGCAGCCTTGACCTCCTGAGCTCAAGCAATCCTCCCACCTCAGCATCCCAAGTAGTTGAGACCACAGCATATGCCATCACACTCAGATAATTTTTTTGACTTTTAGTAGAGATGAGATCTCTACTAAAGGCCGTCTCAAACTCCTGGCCTCAAATGATCCTCCTGCTTTGACCTCCCAAAGTGCTGGGATTATAGGCATAAGCCACCATGCCCAGTCCAACATTTTTCCTGTATTTGATACAAAAATTAGCCAGGCGTGGTGGCACCAGAGGGTTGCAGTGAGCCGAGATCATGGCACTGCACTCCGGCCTGGGCTACAGAGGGAGACTCTGTCTCAAAATAAATAAATAAATAAATAAATAAATAAATAAATAAATAAATAAAAATCCCTAGTCCCTTTAGAATAAAATATTAAAGCCTTTTCAACAGTCATAAAGTTGTTAAATAACTTTAAGGAACTAAATTAAGGAAATCAGCATTCCAATATTCTTCATATATTAGTCTTTATAAGTCATCTTAACTATTTTGTCCTTAGATACTCTCTCAAGATATGATTTTGGTTTACTTTAAGGTTAATACAAATGCATAGAAGGCTCAGATATCTGAGTGGAGTGAGCAGAGCAAGAAAAGCTGACTTCACAGAAGAAAACAATAATTGTTTTTTAACTCTATAACTAAAATATAACCATTTCAAGGAGAGAAAAAGAGATGGTCATGTATGATGAATGAAAATCACCAACATAGTAGAATACTAGCATTCCAACCCATTTCAAAAAAAGATAGTGTTGGGGTTGTTAGGCCAATGGTATAACATGCTAATTAACCCTCATTCAGGGAATTTGTACTACTTACATTTTTCAGTTTACTGAGAGACAAGAAATATATTGGGGCTGGGCACAGTAGCTCACACTTACAATCCCAGGGCTCTGGTAGGCCAAGGCAGAAAAACTGCTTGAGGCCAGGAGTTTGACACCAGCCTGGGCAACATAGCTAGACCCCAGCTCTTAAAAAAAAAAAAAATAGCGCATAACTGTAGTCCTATCTATGGGAGGCTGAGGCAGAAGGACTGTTTGAGCCCAGGAGATCAAGGCTGCCAGGAGCTATGACTGTGCCCTCCAGCCTGGGTGAAAGAGCTTCTCAAAAAATATATATTAATATATTGAGTTAAATATTGGATCCATCTTATTCTTTATGAAGTATATTAATATATGGTTAATTATTTCAATAAAGTTATTAATTATTTGTTCTCAAAAGGACTTCTTCAAGTAAAAAGCATCTGGATCTCTGTAGGTTATTGTATTCCAACCACACGTTTGTACAGGTTCACAATCCCACAATTCTGAA